TGGAGCACGACAAATGATGGCAAAACTTGAAACTTTGAACAGCCATACAGTTTACCAATGTTCTCAAAACACAAGGACGTACTGGCATTCTTTTGATACTGCAATACTATTATAATACTATTAGATGTCATTCCACAAACTTTTTGCTTATGGAGGAGCTTGGACGTTCTTATTAACTTTATCAACATGTAAAGAAGTAGGTTTGCCAATTCTTGTGTGCTTTCTAAAGCTCGATTCAGCGCCTCTAGCAAAATCATTAAGGCATGAATTTGGTACCCACAGGGCTGAGGGCCCCTCCCCAGCAACATAAGCTGGGTAATCCATGCTCTTCTGATTTCACTGATAATTACTAGTAGAATACAAACATTAAAAAATATTTCTGGGTATATAATCCTTTGCACATAAGTAAAATCTTATGGCATCTAACAGTTGGTGTAGAAAGCGTTTCGAGAGGAATAAGAACTAAGTTTAATACCCTTACGGCAATATTGTACTATACAGAGGAAATATCATAATTTGATATTTCCTCTGTATGATATTTCCTTTGATATCTCCTTTGTCTTATTATAAGACTTGGTCTTGGAAACTGTGGGATGGCATGAAATATCATGGAATCTTGGAATAACATTCTATTTTGATGTGACAGAATGATCAAAACTAACAAATCACATGTTAGTAGACATTGAATCACTGTATAGTAAGTAGGTCAATATCTGGCTTGTAATTGACAATTGGACGTAAGCCTTAGGGCCTACTATTTAAGACATTCATATCTAGGTTATATTGTCTATATATACAGTATTAAGATATTTACTGGTATTAAAGCATGCCGTTTCTTCAGTGTTTATAATAACTTTAAAATATCTGCTGGATAGCAAAGTCAACCGTTCGGGCATATACACCAGCATCAAAAGCACGACTTTATCTTCTCTGCATGGATGAAAATATTCTTTCCTTTTCCCTACCTCTCGAATGATCGACAATGCCTTCTCATATGCGTGATAAGTCATATAGAGTTTATCTATTGGTCGAGTGTCGAGGGTTAAATGTCGAGGGCGAGGGTAAAAAGTCGAGGGTAAGGGTAAAAAGTCGAGGGTGAGCCCGGTGAGGATAAAAAACCGAGGGTAAAATGTCGAGGGCTAAAAGTCGAGGGTTAAAAGTCGAGGGTTAAAAGTCGAGGGTTAAAAAGTCGAGGGTTAAAAAATCACAAAAAAAATTACAATATTAAGGTCAGGTAACCATAGATATCTTATATACACTAGATAGTGCATCTAATTATTCTGCAATTCAAAAATTGAAGCCGTGATTGCAGTCTCAGGTCGTTCCCATGAAATGAGAAGATTCGTATGTTTTCTATTTCTTAAACAGGGAATTTAAACATTAAGTTAACCCTATTCCAAATACGTTTTCAAACTATTCAAATAATGAAAGTTACTGTTGTTTTTAAGCGTTTATTAGCAAGTGGGAACGACCAACATGGCCGCCATCTATTCAAATGGGGGTAACCGCTGGAATATTCTTGGCTTCAATTTTACTAAAAGAGATGCGCTATCTAGTGTATATAAGATATCTATGCCTTGAGCTCATGCACGATTCGAATTCGCAGAATAGTGGTTATAGATGTGCGATTACCGCCGCTGTTTTGTTGTTAAAAATTGAAAGGATTGCATAAGCCCAATTCTCGCAGACTCCTCACTAGTTGGTAAAATATTTGCACGAGTACATTAATGCAATTTCCTTGTTCGCAGGCATCCAAAGAGTTGTCACCGTTCCCACGAAATCGTCTATTAAAGAAAGTATGAAAACTATAATACATGCATATAACTAAGATCAGAGTGTCAGCTTCACATTGTCAAATTCTGGAAATGTCGATCTATATACTGTACTGTGCAAATAATTTAGTTTTTCTTATAATACAGATGAGGTGGATAATTATGGACCTCCCATCAACCACTGGCGGCCTGGGGAGTGGATTAAAAGTGAGTACACCATATATTTAAAACAAAACTAACATGCGAATTCTGTTACCTTTAGCAGGAGTTATGTTTTCAATTTGTATATATTTTTCATCATTTGCTTTCTTATTAATGAACAATGTGATATCCAGCGATTGTGCATAGTGCATATACTGCACCATATAGCTATTCTACTCACTCTCGTCCTACAAGGCTGCTCGTAACAAGTTGCTACAAGCTTGTTGTCGTCACCTTGTTAACAACTTATTACATGCAGCTGAAGATATCAGACTTGTTGTTGGAACAACTTGTTGCAAGTCTATTGGCCTCATCAACCTTGTTACAAGACGATAACAACTTGTTCATGCAGACTTGTCAGCTACTGGGAACAAGCAGTGCGACCACATGCATCTTGTTGACAAGCTGTGAGATTTTTACGTGCAAAACTTCGCAAACGAAATAACTGTTTTGGCGATTTTATGGTATCTGATAAAGCCAGGGTGCTTGAATAAAACATTAAGTTAATTTACATCGCCTATTAAACAAGGGAATAAAAACTACAATACATAACTATATAGGAATTTTAGAATTTAGCATGTCGATCCATACTGCTGTGCAAATAATTCGTTCTTTTCATACAGATGGGATCAAGTATTATGATCCTTCCCTCTACCGTCTTCGTGGGGAGTGGAAGGTAATCAATTGCGACGTCTATAATTGGGCTTCTGTATCTTTTGTATTTTCACCGGTCAATAAAAGCGAAAAACCTATCAAGTTTCATCTGCCAACTAAGAAGATAAAATTGGTTTCGAAGAATGTCTATAATGTAACACCCTTGGCATATAAAGATAGCGGGCAGTACATATGCAATATCTGTGTTTTGAATACGACTCGTTACACAGCCGGGAAGATCACAAGACATAATCTCTTTGTACTGGAAGAAGGTAAAACTTACATGGATTGTTAAAGTGCTTATGTAACGAAATTTTACACCATTTTAAGATTGCGTTGTAAAGAAAATTCAAAATGACCAGTCAGATACTTCGCCAAACTATTTAAGCTTATTTCTTTCATCCTGTAAATGGCTGTTTCTAAAACTTTCACCTTTGTTGTTCATAATTTATTTCTTGTTTTTATTTTTCAAGGATATATACAAAAGGATATAACGTAGCAAAGTTAATCAAATTAACCTTTTGTATATATCGTTGAAAAAAAAAAAGAAATAAATTACTTATTTCTTTCTTCAGATATTAACAATGTTTGATATGCAAATTATCCTTACCGTGACGTCAACTAGAATAAAGAATTTTTGGAAAAAACTTGTGTAACTTTTATAAATAGCTGATTCAAATTTGTCGACATGTAATACATATTTTGAGTATGTTAACATAATACGTATGAAAGATTTTATGATTTCGACTGTACGATATCCCAAGATCTTGAAAATTTTTTTCAAAAAGTCATTATGCAATGTGACGTCATGAAGATAATTTGCATGTCAAAAATTGTTAAATATCTCAAGAACAAAACAAGTTAAGAAAGCAGTGGCGTAGCCAGGGTTTACAAAGTGGGAGGGGGACAATTTGAGCGCCGTAGGCGCAAACAATCTAGGGGGTATGGGGAAATGCTACCCCGGGAAAATTTTGAAATTCAGAGCCTGAAACGCCATTTCGTGCATTTTAGGGTGAGATTTTACAAAATTCAGAAGACTATATATAGCATCATAAAATACACAAAAAATAGTACATTTTTGACTTTGAACTATTTAATTTTAAAGTGAGATTTTACAGGAATCAGAAGATTATAACATTATATAAAATGCACAAAAAATGAGAGTTTGGCAAAATATCTTATTTGGTCATTTTTAATTTCCTTCACAATGCAATCATAAAAATGGCGTGCAATTCCGTTGCATCACCACCATAAACTCCGTACAAACGAGCACGTTTTCCATGATAAATTTTCCTTTGATAAGTTTTGCTTGTTGGTAAGCAAGGCAACAATTGATAATTTTTCCGTTGACAAGAAACCAAAAAGCCTCGTCCAAAAGCTTGTCAGGTCAGCTTTTCAACAAGGAATATTGTTCGTGCATGAGTACGGCCGTCAAAGAAAACTTGACAAGTAGTTAATTTAGCAGTACATCACCCATTGCCATTCAAATGTCGTTTAAGTTGAAATTTGTTTTTAATTTGAAGTGTGGTATCGAAGACAGTTTCAGCCGCAATAAGTACTAAAACGACCCGAAAATTGCTCCGGTTGTGACGGTAGAAAGAAAATATAGAAAATAATTTTACTCCGGTTGTGACGTTACGCATATCCGACGATGGATACGCATTTCCAAGACGGGGTAATACATAACAATTTCGTTTGAAATGAAGGTAATACCTTTTATACCATAAACGACAAAGAAAATCTGTAATAAGATTCTGAAATTTACTAAATCACTCTTTCAAACGGAAGAAACTTAATGTTTATTGCTATTTCCCTTTAAAGACGTTTTCATTTTGGGGGGTGTTTTATGCTTTATCTTGAGTCTTCTTCGCAGAAAATTGTGTTTCTATTATTCACTAACCTGATCAAATGCGGCACTGCAACTTGCAACAAGTCTCACGCGCATGTTAAAAGCATGCGCAAGACAATATGTTATATATATATACATTCTATAACATGCACTGAAATCAGATTTTGTTGTAAGGTGTAGCAATTATGTTCATGCTTATATTTCCGCTCCTTATGTAACGTTAATATTCTTGTTATTTAGGAAAAGCTTATAGGGAAGCCGAAATTCAGAAGAGGCCAAATAAAGCATACTACGATATTGGAAGCAATGTTAACCTAACATGCGAAGCAGAAAAGGGTACCAATTTATATAAAATTATTTGGTACAAACTTGATTCACAAGGAAATCTGATAGAACTGAAATCTGCACTCAATGGACCTGGAATCCTAACTCTAACGTTGAATAATGTGTCCACGAAAGACTCGGGGAGATACAAGTGTGAAGTATTTCGTCCTCAAGTTAATTATTACAACTCGCGGTTTGTCAGTATAAATGTGAAAGGTGGGCCTTTTAACCCCATGTTACAAACTATCGTTATAGAAGTTATTTTTTCTTTTTCCTTGTTTTAAACATTTGTCATGCCTTTCCTCACAGGCCGCCATTAATTCTTTTGGCATATTTTAGCATGCTTGCCTTTATGCATGTAAATTATTTTAAAACATTTTAGTCTTTACAGTCAAATAAACTAAATTTACCTTGTAAAAGAATACAGTACAGTTAAATAAAAAAGTTGGCTATTTGAATGTGATATTTGATTTGATCGCGGTCGGGCGATGTTCAATATTGTTAAGTCGAGAAATAATTCGTGAGACGTATAATTCCCTGCCTCGGCTCTGCTAACCCAGTGTTATACGATATTAAATGTGTTATGGAATATTCTTGAATTCTTACCGATGAATAGCCATCAGGTAAGTAAATTTTGTAAGTTGGGTTTAAACAAGCGTTAGCCGAATTTGTCTATATCAACACGCTTCATACTTCAAGAAGCCGCCTATTAAACAAGGTGTGAAAACTATATAATACTGTACTAGAGTCATATACTGTAACCGTCTCATTGCCAAATTCTAGAAATATCGATCTATACTGCAGTGCAAACAATTCCTTCTTTTAATACAGATGCGGTCAAGTATTATGATCCTGTCATCACCCGCCTTCCTGGGGAGTGGAAGGTGATCAATTGTGGGGCAGATTGGACTGATGCAATTCTAGAGTTTACACCCATTGATGCAAACGCTACCACTTCATCTTATCGTCGTTACGTTGACAATGAAAAGATAAAACGGGTTTCCAAGAATGCCTTTAATATAACACGGTTGACATATAATGATAGCGGGGACTACTTGTGTGCTACCACGGTTATGAACGGTACTGAAAGAATACCCTGGGAGATGAAAAGATATAATCTCATTGTATTGAATGAAGGTAAAACTTGCATGCATACTATGGATCGTTCACAGTTCTTTTAACTCTTTTCGAATTTCGCAATATTCTTGTAATAATAGTAGAGTCATTTTAATCACCTGTATATAGTGTTGTGTCTGCCTAATTATCATTAGGGAGTTTAAGATCTTGACGACGAACTAACGACTACGTTTGAAATAGTTTTTGTTATATGTGTGCAGATACTAAATGCTTTTCATAACAAATGTATCCCAAATATGTTTCATGTGCATGGTTTTGTGTTCTGTAAGTTTCATAATTTCTTTATAAAGATTCTCTCCAACCTGTGACGTTGCGTAGTCAGTTTCGGTGTTATGTTCTTGATTCTGTTTTACAACACAAGAATATGTGATTTTTACGCTGCAGCCAAGGTCGCTACGGTGAAAAGTATGCTCTGGGGATATGTCAATTTTGTTTGCCTCAGTTAAACAATGCAAAAACAAACTTTCAACCGTATTCCGTACCCGTTGTTCGTTGTCGGCATCTTAAACTCTCTAATATCATTATTCAGTACCGTCGGAAGCAAATTGTCACAACCGAAACAGGTGGGAAAATTGTCTTGGGTATCCTTACATATCTCGGGCGCATTCTTCTTGCGAGACAGAGAAACTTAGTAGTTAGATTTCTTACGACTGTTATTTCGAATCGTAATCTTTGTATTCTTTTCAGACACCATTTTTGTTCGTTCAATATTCACTGTTTTGAAGAAAATTTGAAAGCATTTTCATATTAGTGTTAAATTTTTGGCTTTAGAAAAATTTGGAAGTGTTGGTATTTTTGGTTTGAATTTCACATTTTATTAAAGCTATCAGGCGACATTTTAAACGCATTATTTTGCTCTGTTTTGTTTTGCACTGAATAATCGATATTAATAGTTCACATTGTAAATATTTGTAGCAATAGAGGAACATTTTGTGGTGATTTGTGGTCCCAAAAAACAGCAATATTTGTCTTTCGACGGTTTCAAATAAATGATACACTCTACACAAGTTCAGAATGTCATGATAGTTGGTTGATAATGATATTGTAATATCCATAGGATCGAAATATAACCATTTAAATTTTCATCCATGCCCAATTAAAATTATGTACATTTTTGTTTTTTAGCAAATTGATTTTATTTATTAACATGTTGAGATGCGGCAATAAACAAATTTGATTTCGATGCGCGTTATTTTAAAAATTTTCACGAACATATTAAAAACATGTGAAGACAACATGTGTATACATTCCAACATATATGGGCCGAAATAAGATTTTAGCTGATTTTGTTGCAAGCTGTACTAATGTGGTGTTCTTGTTTAGGAAAAGCTTTCATGAAAGCTAAAATTCAGAAGAAGCCAAATGAAGCACACTACGATAATGGAAGCAGTGTTAACCTAACCTGCGAAGCTGGAAAAAATACCAATTTATATAAAATTATTTGGTACAAACTTGATTCGCAAGGAAAATCGATAAAAAAAAAATCTGCACTCAATGGACCTGGTATCCTAACTCTGACGCTGAATTCATTATCTGCGAAAGACTCAGGGAGCTACAAGTGTGAAGTATTTCGTCCTCAAGTTAACTATTACAACTCTGAGTTTGCCAGAATCAATGTTCAAGGTAGGATTTTTTAACCTTATGTCAGAAACTATCGTTTTACAGCTTTTTTTGTTCGTTTTTCCCCATTTAAACATCTAATCATGCCTTTCCTCATACACAAGCAAATAAGATATTCAAAATTGCGTATTTAGCCTGCAACTGTGTCTGGTTTTATTCATGCCACACAATACACAATTAAATTTATAATATTTATTATTAGCATGACAAAATTACTGGATGCTGATTGGTTTAGAGGAGTACAATTATTTCATTAATTGTACTGCAGTACAATTAATGATTTTCCCAAAACAAACAAAATGGCGGAAAGGGATTTTAAACACAGATGTGAAATGAAATTGCCGTGAAGGAACTAGATGTAAATACGAACAAAAGCACCAAATTTTGCTTGAACAAAAGAACTAAATGAAAGTACAAACAAAAACACCAAATTTTGGTTGAAAGTCTGGCAGAACTGGGCTTTGGCGAGAGAATATGATGTTGACATTGAGAAGTACGTATTCAGATTTGTCATGCTAATAATAAACAAGTAATCATGCGATGTTGCTCGTACAATTAGGGATTAATAGTACTCGTGATGTTCGGAAATTTGCCAAATTGGACTCGCCCCGGCGGCTCGTCCAATTTTGGCAAAATTTCCAAACATCACTCGTACTATTAATCCCTAATTGTACTCGCTATCGCATGATTACCTATACTAATAATACATTAATAATTCATGAGAAAAAGACAAAGGAAATCACTACCGTGTCAGCGGTTTTATATGTGATAAAAAAATCATGTTCATTTACATAAACTTTAGCTTTGATTATCTCGGCTTAGACCACGGGCAATAGGACAGGTGTAGTGTTGTTAAATATAAAGTTAGAAATGGTATTATACTTACTCATGCATTATAATTTGTTTAAAAGATCAGAATATTCATACCTTCTTATTTTGTTTCATAAATAGTTCTTTAATGTTCGAAACAAATTCCATATCTGCTTCGTCTGCCATCGCCATGTTTACTCGTCCCAATCTACATGCTGCACGGCATTGCCGCCCCTCCTGGCAAAATAATAAGCAAGCGAGAAAAATTAAGGAGAAATAAGAGGGTAGGAACATCGTTGTCATAAGCTGGATGCAGTGACACTTCCATATATGGCACAAACGTATCCATAACTTCCATATATGGCACAAACGTATCCACGACGCGTTTTATAACGTTTTATTTGACGTAGGGATGATGTGTAATGCTGCTTCCCGCCTATGACGATTTGAATTAGTCATGTGATACAAGATTGAGAAAGCTGATTCGCCCAGAGCGATGAAACGCCCACGAAACGCCCACAGTGTTCCTACCCTCTTATTTTCTCCTTAATTTTTCTCAACCTCGTACCCAGGGCCTTTGCGCGGTTCAGAGGCTCTGGTACGGGAAGCAAAGGCCCTGGTAAACACTGGTCATGTGACTCCAAAAATATTGGACATTTGTAACCTGGCCTTTGTTTAGGTCATGTTATCCCGGGGGGGATGAACAACTAAACATTGCAATGCACGAACTATAAAAGTTTCAAATACAAATGATTTTGCCTTTGATTTTTAAAATATGAATGTATAACAATTATTTGAAAATTCATATTTTAAAACAACAGACAGCAGATTTAGGCTTGTTTTTATTTGATGGAAATTATAAACTTTGAAGTCACATGGATTTTGAATTATGCTTTAAAGAATGCAGTATATTCGAGGTAAACGATTTTATGATGCATATATAAAATTATATTCTCATATCTTTTAATATTTATCAATTTATATATCATAAATTCCAGCAGATTCGTGGCTGTCTGTTTGTATAATTAGTTTTCTTCGTTTAATTACTCCTCCATCGCTTTTGGATATAAACCCTCCTTCATGCCTGATATATTTTTTGGTTATCTCCATCCTTCACTTAGTAATTCACTAAGGCCATGGGAATGAAAGTCATAGATTTGCGTCCACCGCCCGCATGCCTCAAAAGCTACCGCCTAAAATTTTCATTATTTACAAAAAAATTCATTATTTTCACAAATAAAGCAAAACTCAATAACATTAGCAATAAAATTGTGTATTGATTACAATAAAATGAACATATTGTAGTGTGTTGTCCTCAGTATCCACATTCTATGAAATTCCAAATTATATTCACCGAAATGGCGAAATTGGCACACAGATCTTCAGTACTGCAACTGCGTGAGCTCGAGATATATGTAATTCCGTGGCGTAAACGGTAATTCGTGTTTTGATCTCTGTATTTACCACCCAAAAGGATGGTAAAAAAATAATGAATAATGAATAATGAAAAAAACCCGCATGTTTTTTCAAAATTATCCGGACGCAAATCTATGACTTTCATTCCCATGGCCTAAAATCAAAATTTTCTGTTCCAGCTTGCTCAGAAAATATTCAATCTTTCATAACTGGAGTTATCTTTGGCATGTAAAATCATTAGGCAGTACCCTCAGTAAAATACTTATTTAACTGGCTGACCATTACAGTAGTCAAAAGTTAATAAATGAATACATGCAAAAATTACAAATTAACTGCCCTCATACCAATCCATTGGTCTCTGATTCATCCAATAAATACTTAACAGAATAGTATGATAATAATAGAAAAGTGTGAAAATGCCAACGTTACCTAACTTTGTGTGACAAGAAAGTTAGGTTACATTAATTTTACAGTCAGGTATTCTTTTCTTTATCGCCTCAATACTCTGGTTGATGATTCCAATGGCCCCCATAAAATTCCAATGGCCCCCATAAATTTCCAATGGCCCCCATAAATTTTACTGGAGAAAATGTTTCCCCCACTTCTTGCCATTAAATCTCCATAGCCCCCAATTTTACCCATCCAATTAGGGAGAGTCTTGTGTGGTCACACTATAGTAATGGGAATATGGGATAATCAAATATGGCATACTTTGTTATTTTTCTCTGTCCAACACCAGACAATTTTACTTGTCAAGTGTAAGGTTAAGTGAGTAATAAAAAGTGGCTGGATATTCTAACTTTTGCTCCATATACAGTAATTGGACTTTGGTTGTGAGCAAAATGTAAAAAGACAATTACCAGTAATACTGGCCTTACTACCTCCCTATTATTTACCTTGCAACCTTGAGCAGTTGTGCTGTTACAGCAGAATGTGGTTTCAAATGACAGTTATTTTATGGCAATTATGATATTCCAGTGTGCCAGTAAGACATTTGTCGTTTGTTTCTCTTTTAGTATTATATCGAAAAGGTGATTGCAGGGTATTCAGATCCTGGAGTGATGTGAAATGGCCATGACATTGGGCAATTTATAAGTAATATATGAGTGGTGTAAAATAGGAAATTTTTTATTAATTCTGATTGACTAATAAAATTAGAATGGTGAGAATAATGATGATGGTAGTGAAATACAAGTTGTGATGATATTGGTGATGCACAAGTTGTAATGATACTGCTGATAATGATAAAAAATATATTGTATTTGTAATGAGACATAAATACTAGAGATTGGCAGTAATGAATGTGTATGACTTGATCAATTGTGCTGGTGAGAAGGCAATATATTGCCACCTAGATGAATTAAGTCCCATGCCATTTTGTGTTCAAAACTAACTGTTCTCATCAGCTCCAAGCATAACTGGGAAAGCTGGTTTCAATCCCGTTAGCTGATCTTGAAACTATGTGCACACATATAAATATTAATTTTTTCCCCTCATGAATTATATTGTTTGCCCAA